CAGCATATGTTCAATACCAGGGCTTCCATTCCCAAAAATTCAAAATCACTAGGGGAACCAGGCAAGGGTGCCCCCTTTCTCCCCTCTTGTTTGCCCTAACCATAGAACCCCTCGCCCAAGCGATAAGGCGGCACGTAGATATCAAGGGTATAGAGGTTGCAGGCTATCACCATAAACTTAGTCTGTTCGCGGACGATGCGCTTCTGATTCTTACTGATCCCTTGCACTCTCTCCCGAATCTCCAACCCCTACTACAACAATTTGGTACCCTTTCAGGCCTTTTTGTTAATTTGCGAAAATCCAAAGCCCTTAATGTCTCTCTCCCCCCCCCCTCCCTTTGTTCCTCCCTACAACAATCATTCCCCGATACTTGGGTACCCACTGCACTGCCCCACTTGGGAATATATCTCACCTCCTCCTATGACCAATTGTACGATGCAAACTACCTGAAATTGTTTTCACACCTTGAATCCTTACTGTCCTCTTGGTAAAAACATTCCATATCGTGGCTCGGAAGGATCACAGCCGTTAAAATGACCCTGCTTCCCAAATTTCTATACCACGCTAGGGTCCTTCCGATCTCGATCCCCACTTATCGACTCAGGCTACTCCTACGCCCCATTACGGTTTATTTGGAAGGGTTCCTTCCCTAGAGTCTCACATTCAGTACCCAAACAGAAGGAATTTTCCTAATCCGATTCTCAAACACACTCTGAAAGTTTGGGATGGCCTCCGATTTTCATTGGGATGGATGTCCTCTCACACTCACCTGATGTCTATTCATGGCAACCCACTCTTCCAACCAGGCTTCTCAAACCCGGCTGCGTTTAAATTATGGCTCTCCAACTCCCTGAACCTAGTTGGGGACTTCTGTTCAGACGCGGGTGTGGTGCCTTTCCCAATACTTCAATCTACACACAACTTGAATGCTAAACAAACTTTCCAATATTTGCAGATTAAACATTTTTTGCTGACTCGATTGGGACACGTACGCCCCATTCCCCCACTTTCCCCTTTCGAGAGACTACTACACCTTGGGATGCATGGCTCAGGGACTATATCTACCCTTTACAACCTCCTCTTGGACAAATTGCACGCCTCCCCTCCCCCTTACATCTCCAGGTGGGAACGGGACCTAGGGTGTACCATTGCCCCTGACATCTGGACACAAATTTGGACGACACAGCTCAATGAATGTTCAAGCTCTGGAGGCTAATTACAAACTGCTCCATAGGTGGTACTTGGTTCCGCTCCGGATCTCCAAAGCTATCCCATCTCAATCCCCAAACTGTTTCAGGGGTTGCCGGGTGGAGGGTTCGGTCATTCACATTTGGTGGTCCTGTCCTAAGGTGAGGAGATTCTGGCATAGAGTCTACCAACTTCTATACACAGTTACTGGCCAGACGTTCCCCAAGGACCCGTTGGAAGCTCTGCTGCTCAAGAAACCATTGGGGTGCACGATACGTCAGCACCGACTAATCACCTTCATCCTCACAGAGGCCAAACAGGTCATTGCGAGAAATTGGAAGATCCCGGACCTCCCCTTTGCTGAAGTCAAGCACAGAGTTACGCGGGTGATGTTTTTTGAAAAGCTTACTGCTATTCAAAGGGACACTCTGATGCCGTTCAGGAAGCTGTGGGAACCGTGGATTGAGTCGTACTTGCCTCCCTCCTTCAATGTTGATTCTTTGACAATCTGAGATCCCGAATCTGCAGTTGATGGACAGCTATCTTGACTCCTCCACTCAAAGGTAATCTTTTCCTCCCTCTTCCCCCTTTCCACCCCCCCTACTTCACCCTTTACTAGCTCCATCCTTCCCCTTCCCCATGTTGTTTCTTCCCCCTCAGAACCAGATAACTCAGGCCCCCCTCTCTCTGTAACCTTGACTGGAAGTCTGAGCTGATATGATGTATCAATGCACCATAAGACTCTAGGAATTCTTTAGTACTTCTCCCAGACTACTTTGATGCTTACAACCTTACCTTATTATGTATGTTCCGTTTATGATTCATTATACTTGACAAGTGACATGTGTTTTAATGTACTTGTAATCTGTTTACATGAAAAGTAAAGAAATAAAAATCTTTTGAACGAAAACACATAGTTCAACCGATAATATACCACAATGGTTTGGTGGAAAGCGGAATAGAACATAGACTTAAAATGCTCAATGCAAATAAAGCAGTTGGACCAGATAACCTTCACCCCACAGTACTTAAGGAATTAAGCCAGGCTATAACAAGACCATTATTCCTAATTTACGCGTTACGAAACGCGCGACAAATGCGCATATTCGATACGCCTAGGTGTGAACAGAGCCTAAGAGCGGTTAAGGTCTGGAACTCACTGCCACCGGCAGTGATTTCAGCCAAGAGTGTAGATTTGTTCAAGAAACGTTTGGACAATTTCTTGAGGGACCGTAATATCCAGGGATACCAGTATCCCTAAGAATGAGATGATGCGTGGACCTATATGGGTTGGACTTGATGGACGTACTGTATGTCTTTATTCAACCCCAAATAGTATGTAACTATGTAACTATGTAATACAGCATGGGGGGTGTGAAAAAATAATCCACCCCAGGCATTAAATACATTAGCCCTAGGAGCATATTTATAAAGCAGAGGATATGACATTTAGCAAGCATTCTATGTAAGTAAATCTTCCAGGTGTATGTGTTTTAAATGGCAGTGATTGATTCTTCACCAGAGAATATCTATTATACTGTATATCACATTCACTACTTTATACATAGTTCCTTATGACACATTATTTGATCTTGTATTTAAAACTTTCTACAACTTGATGGTCACACAAATGTACCATGAGCTACAAATATAATTATTTAAGCAGTGGTTCACTGAAATCTGGTAAAATGGTTGAGAAATGCTGCACTAGGAGAATATTAGGATACCCATATCTACACCTGGAACAGGGCTAGACTGACCATTAAGTAAAATAATCACATGCTTAGATCACCCAGGGATGGGGGCACCACAGAGCTTTTCTTAACCAGTTGACATCCGCGGTGTTAAACCCCCTTCCCATCCAGGCCATTTTTCAGTATTCAGCGCTGTGGTACTTTAACTATCGCTCTGGGAGCCCCCCCGCTCCCGGCCGCCAAGAAAAGAAACCCCGCTGTGTCTTTTTTCTTTATTCTGACATGAGCATGTCAGAATAGAGAAAAAAAAAAAAGAAAAATTCCCATTCAAAAGCATTGGGAGTTTACTATTGGCTATTGAAATTGAAATAGCTAATAGTAAACTCCCAATACTTTTGAATGGGAATTTTTCTTTTTTTTTTTTCTCTATTCTGAAGATCACGGCTGGCTCCGCCCAGCTGTCAGAAGCAGGCTGTCGGCCGGCCAATTGTGAATAGCCCGTACAGCACCCCCTCGGTTCTCCTGAACCGAAGGGGTCCTGGGGCCGAAGCCAGCCAAAGGATCGGCCGAAGCTACGGCCAGATCCTTCGGCAGCTTTGTGAATAGACCCCTAAGTCACTGTCTTACAGTTAGCAGCAGTATTGTTAATCTTCCAAGTGTGCTTCATCAGTTGGTCTTTGGGCTGTGTATCCGATCTACCATATAGGCAGCCCAAAATCCAGCTGAAAGAACTCAGCTGGCTGACAAACCTGCTGCTAACTGTGAGGCAGTGGCTTAGCGTTTTCTTCACAAATAAAATGTATACAGCGAGGCATGATGCCAAACATAATGAAATATACATGTAAGGTTTACATACACTTTACACAAAATATATTGCTGCACATGTCCCAGGAATGTCCAAAAATGCAATCCTTTTTACTTTACTATTTTTTGTCATTGTAACCAGCAAGGGGTATTTATAGGCACCTAATTTCCTAAGGTGACAGCCCTTGCTTAATTCTGGTACAGTGTTGCCATTTGCCTGCTCCTGAGTTGGACTAAAAGCAGCTGTGTCAATGTCCAGTGACACTGAAAGCTTCACCCAAAGTCACTGCAGTGAAACTGTAACATTCAGCTGCTACTGGAGCACACACACATCCACAAAAAAAATGATGTAATCCTGTTTTAACTCACTGTGCATTACAAAGGTACAAGTATTCATTTGTGAGAGTTTGGTTCAACTTTACTTGTCCATACTTTTAAAATGGAGTGAGGCAAATTTTAGTTCTATTTCTGAAAATTTTGGCACAAAACAATGTCTGTCTTTGTAGTTTTATAAAAGAAAAATGCTTTTTCTGACAATACATAGATGGCCCATTCAGTAGAAATAGATAATGTATTGGTATAGTTGTAATGTAGAGTTGAAATTCATTTCATACATATAATTTAATAGGTAGTTGGGAATGTGAATCTGTGTGCATAGTGTGCAATTTCTGCTCTGGGCTTTTAGTCTTCCAACTTACCCAGACAGGTCTTCCCATCACTTTGAAGTATGTAGCCCTCATTACATTGACAGAAGTAGCCATTCAGGATGCCCACGCACTCCTGCTGACAGCTGTGATTGCCGTATGAACAATAGTCAATCACTGCAATTTAGAACAAACAGGGTAATCAGACATTGCCTATGACTTTTAGATCCTTCTCAAATAACTGCTGGATGCCCACCACCCTGTAACATCACGGTCCTATCTATGGCTTCTTTTTTGAATCAATGGAAAAATACACAACTATTTCACATTCCTCAAGGGAATCTTTTTAGACAAAGGTCAGGGACACTGGGCTGTTTCAAATCAAACTGGAACAATATAGAAGTTGATTTTGTTATTGTTTAATGAAATGGTGCTATCTATCAGACAGTCCTTTCTTGCAGACCTGAAATAAAGGCTCTTTGTTGAGCTTGCATTTGTGCTCATCTATTCATTAGGATGTTCTACAGACTAGAAATATTTTGTCTCAGATGAGTAATTAAACTACACAAACTATTTTCAAAATCCAAAACAGTTGATCAAAGTTAATTTACAATCACAGGAAGATTACATTAACTCATAGCTGCGACTGAAGACTGTCAACCTATTACATGTAAGTGTATGAATCTAACAATATGGCAAAAGGTACTTACAAGCAAAAGTCAGAACCTCCTAATCAATTTTTGCATCTATACTATTTTCAGGCTATCCACATAAAGTATTGGTCTTTGTGACATCCACAATGTCACCAAATGTCTTACCAAATGTTTGTACCCCCAAGAAGACATTCTTGGCATTGCTGCCTTCTTTTGTCCAAATATATATATATATATATATA